CTGCCGAGTGGGTTTTGGGTGTACCATTTGGGTCCACTAGGTGGAGCTGGTGTGCTACCTCTCTAGCTTTATCCGTGACCACCATCTTCTCATGGCCCGGTAAGCATCGTGTTGGGAGTACAAATGTCTGCCTGTGAAAGCTGGTGGGTAGTGAAAATGGAGGTGAACAATTCTGTCATTTTAAAAGGGTCCTTTCTATATGGAGGGTTTCAGTCCTTCCAGTTAAACAAATCTGAGGTTGAAAATGGACTGTGCGTCCTCAAAAACCCAGTTGGCTGGCCGTTCTCATTGAGGCTCCCTACAGGGTAATGGGAAATTGCCCTGCCCTGGAGGTGGCTGCGGGTCTAAACTGAGTGCCCAGTTGGGTCTTAAATGACGATACCAGACCATGTCGTTGTGCCCTAGGAACCAACACAAGATTTTCCAATTGATCCTATAAGAAGGGACTTCCCGCACCTCAGTGTCAGGAGCTGGTGTATAGAAACAGGAGGCAATGGAAGGGATGGACATCAGTTGCATGAGGGTGGTTAGATCAGATGCAGGGACAGCCAGCATGGCCAGAGGAGGATTTAAGGTTTGCAGCAATATATCCTCACTCTCATTCCCTTCCTTGTCCTCCGGGAGAACAGATTTTCTCTTGGGTTTCTTTTCAGACCCTCGTACCATAAGGTAGCAGCTGTCTGGCTTTTTCTCTTCCTGATGTAACAACACAAATGCTTGCACGTAAGGAATCTCATCATTTCCCCCGCTCTTTCACAGAATAACTCTAACTGCAAGATTGTATAATAATTCAGAGAACCATTCAGACGCCACCGTTCCTCAGATGCCGATGAATAATGTGGCCAGACATTTTTGCAATAAAATGTCATCTGTTTCTGTCATAGGTTCACAGCTATAATCAGACAATTTTTCCAAATGCGACCAGTGAGTTTTCTTTAGGGATGGATGAAATGTTTCCCATCTTTTAAAAAACAGAAAGGCAAGAAAAACAAAGCACAAGTGGTGCTCCCCAAACCAAATGCTAGCATCTAAAGAAACAAATGATCTGGCTCACAAATCAGGTAGAGCCTAACAACTATTTACCTCTTCAACAGGGTACCCCACACAAATGCAAAACAAATGGGCTTATTCCAGACAGGAAAAGCCCCGAGTGGAGGGGAAGGGAGTTTTTGGTTGTACACATCGAAGTGACTTGCCCTACTGCATTGAGACTGCTGACTCCCAAATGTCAAGTGTTTGCTCCAGCTGCTGAGCGCTAGGGCAGCTGATGCTACTCTGAGGACTTTTGAAGGAGGATCCCCAGGACAAGAGGTCCTGGCTGCTGCTAGGGCCCTGCCAAGCAAAATTCCCTGACCAGGGCCAGCTGGCCACGAGCAGCAAGATTCCTGGCTGGCTTGTCAAATTTTGTTACCAAGTCCAAGCTCTTACTGCCCCATGCACCACAGGCCAGCAAGTCAAGAGACAAGATATTGGGGCAAAGAATAGCGACTTTATTCGGAAAGCCAGCAAGACGACAAGATGGCAGACTAATGTCCTAAATTTTGCAGTAGAATTCAGGCTGCCTTTATGCTAAGGAAAAAGGGGAAGCTGGAGGGTTTAATAATAAAGGGTAAAGGCAGATTGCAGACTTCCTGGAGCCACCTGGCCTTCAAGGGAAGCATAACATTTCTTTGTTTTTCTGCTTGTTCACAAGGCTGCATCCCGAGACTCCTGCCAAACTCTGGTACATCTGTCAACTAAATAGACTAGACGTGGCCCTGCGCAGCGGCAATGTAGTCCTTAAATATTTGATGGTCCAGTTCAAAAAAGATGATGAAGACGGCCTTGAGAGCCGCTTAATCTCAGAACTTGTGCGTCCCTTGCTGCTTATGCGGAAACGTTTGTGAAACCACCAAATGTATTGGTCCTGTCTGACTCTGCTGCATGGTGGTTGACTTGGCGTACATCTAGCCAAAAAGGGGAGCCAGAGAAATATGAATATACCAAAGTCGCTCAATTTCCAACTTAAGTTACATTAACGAACTTAAAGAGATTTGTATTATAGCTTTCCTTTGGTAGATATGATGCCAAATAGATTGAGGAACTACGTCATTTGCAGTGCTTGTATTGGTTTAGAATATAGGATTCGAAGATCTTCCAACACTGTACTAAAAACATTTCAATAAAATCATGCTCCTTCTTTCAAAAAAAAAAAAACAAAACTTCAAGTTGTTAGCAGTTATTTTTACTTTGCCACTCGTATCTCTGCTTATCCGCAAGGTTTCTAGGCTGAAAGCAAACTTATCTACAACCAGTAATAGCCATAACGAACCTGGGACTGTGGGATGGGGACTTTCTTAAGGGAACTTAATGAGCTATTTGGGCACAAGCAACATTTCTCTAATGTTTAACTCTTGATGTGCAGGGCTAAAGTAATGGAATACAGAGGCTAAATGGTAAGGGAGGCAGTTTCAACCTGGTGTTAATTCTGTTCCTCCTCTGCTACAGATCTGGAGCAGTAACTATGGCAGCGATGGGATTAAAAATAAACTCTGCATTCTTGTGTGACCAGAGCACCTACTATGCTCCCATAGTAAGCAAATGTTACCGTAATGAGGAAGGTGAAAACCCGTGGGCCAATCATTTCCAGGCTCTGGCCTGGAAATGTGGTGGTACCACCCATCCGGACCAGACAAAATGCAGAGTTCTGGGGAGGGAGGCACAAGGGGGGGGGCAAGTGATTCAGATCTCTGTTCTTAATCTCCTCATCTGCAATATTAGGGAGCCTGTCTTGAATATCTCCAGGATTCTATCCAACTATCCTTTCTGGCCTTATGACAGATTCCACCCATTAAGACAGGGGGAGCCCCAGAGCTGTTTCTTTCCTCATTTGTCTGTGCTCAGAGCTACAAGGAGACCCCCTTTCCACTATGGGCAACCAGGTGATCTGCTGTGTGGCCCTTTGTCTCCTCGGAGCAGGTGAGTCCTGGGTTCAGGAAGCAAGTTCCTGTCCCAAAGGGGCTGAGCTCCAGAGCTAAGCCTTTCCCTCATGGCAGCAGCATTAGACACCCTCTTGGGCCGTGTTCCCAGAGCCACTCCCTTTCTTCCATAAGGCACTGTGGATGGCAGGGTCACTCAGACCCCAAAATACCTGTTCAAAGTGGAAGGACGAGATGTGACCCTGAAATGTGACCAGGATTTTGGTTACGACGTCATGTACTGGTACCGACAGGACCCAGGACAAGGGCTGAGACTGATCTACTACTCTCCAATTGAAAAGGATGTTCAGAAAGGAGACATAGCTGAAGGATACAGTGCCTCCCGGGAGAAGTCACTGTTTCATCTCACCTTGACATCGACACAAAAGAACCAGATGGCTCTCTATCTTTGTGCCACTAGTATAGACACAGTGAAGCAAAGCCACCTCCTCTCTGCACATAAATGCGGCCCAAGCCCTGCTTCCCCACCAGGTGGCGGGGCTTTTCTGTTTTTAGTACCCTGGTCAGCCCCCTTTCTTCCTCCTCAACCAGGCAGCCACAGCAGCTGCTGCAATAGCACACGCTGTGGAATTGGCACCATCACAATTCAGCGATCCACTAAGTTGATTTTTAAAATTACATAAACCTATTTATCTATATCTACCTACATCAGAGAGAGAGGAGAGGGTAATTTCACAAGCCAGATTTTTTTTTTTTTTTTTTTTAACCAAATACTGGAAAACAAAAAATGGACAGAAAATGGTCCCTTCCTTCAGAAAGATAATAAAAGTCTAGTGGGGAGAGAAATGTGTAGAAACATACTGTAATCAAGCATCATAGAATGTGTGCTTTCATCAGAGGTATTAGTGGAGTGTAGGAAATAACACAGTCA